ATGGTAGCCTGATGTGCATGTGTGCAACTACGTCAGGGTCAGGCAACGTTTCACACATTGGAGAACAGATCAGCTGTCGCCGTCGGTCTCTTCAACGTTGCAATAATTACGTGTATTCGAAGGGATTTTTGTATAAAGAGAACAAAGCAGGATCAATTTCAAATAAATAAAATACAAGTGTCTAATATCGGCCTTCTAAAATGGTAAGTGCTGAGAAAAATCCGAGTATTTTGGTGACTAAGAGGTTAACCGGAGGTTAGTCACGCGTGCGATTCCTTATATGGTAACATGACCGCGTAGGCAGAAAGATGCCTCGTATACACCTGTACTTAAATATTTTTTAATATAATATTTTATAATATGAAGAAGGTTCAGTTACTTTTGCCTTCGGTATTATCTGAGCAGGTAGCTTCAAGTTGATTTCTCAATTTCAGCAAGATCCAAATGAGGATACCGAATGGAACGATATTCTTAGGAGAAAAGGCATCATACCTGAGAAGGAAAAGGAGCAGGAAATTACGGAGGATCAGATAGTAAACCTCTTGGAGAATACGATAGACGAGAAGACAGGACGTAGTAATTATATTTCCCCAATACAAAGTCATTTCTTGATCTCTGTCAATGGATTATCATCTGCTCACGATCTGGTTTTCGCAGCTCCTAATAGCTTAGAAGAGAAGACCTTGGATGAGTTAGACGAGCTCGAAGACGAAGAGGACGAACGAGTGCTGGAGGAATATCGACGGAAGAGGATAGCGGAGATGAAGGAGCTGGCAGACAAGTCCAAGTACGGAGAGGTGCAAGAGATATCTGCGGAAGACTACGTTAAAGAAGTTAACAATGCTGGGGAGGACGTTTGGGTCGTTTTGCATCTTTACAAGTCTGGGTACGACGAGACGAAGCGGATTGAACCCTAACGGTGTACGCAGCAACGAGATTAACTCACGGTGTACATGCTTTCAGCATTCCGCTCTGCACTCTAGTCAATCAGCACCTTGCCAGTCTAGCGAGAAAGTTCCCCGCCACTAAATTCTTGAAAAGCATCTCCACCACTTGCATCCCCAATTGGCCCGACAGCAATCTTCCCACGATATTCATTTATCACGACGGAAATATGGTGAAACAAATTGTCGGACCGCTCGAGTTCCGTGGCATGAAACTGTCTGAAGCAGGTGATTACAAATTGTTGCGAGGAAAATGCGCGAGGAAATTATTATGTTTACTTTGTTATGCAGAATTGGAATGGATGCTGGGACAAGTGGAGGCGGTACCGACGAAGATCAAGGAGGATCCTCGACCCAAGATTAACGATGTCTTATTTTCAAGCTTAAGGAATGAGAACGATCTTGACGATGGTAACGATTGGTAATTTTACCTACATCAAGCTATTGTGGGAGATTGGTACATATATATGGAACATGTAATAAGTATTATGAGACATTGATAGTATTTCATATTTTATTTATTTTATTATGTCGTAAACATGAAATCATCACTTGTAAAAGTACTATTTTCAACTGCTCTACCGTTCATTTTAATAAAGTATTTTATTACAATGTTATTTCACTTTATATTCACATGCTGTTTTCCCTACAGATTATAGAAAAAATGCGTTTATTCAGTAATAAACGGAATTTTTAAATAAAAATTATGATACTTGAATATAAATAATGAATTTATTATTAACTAGAACTACAGCGAGCTCTTAAAATTGCGTTTAATATTTGTGTAATTTTAGTTGTGTATTTTGTATAATGTTCACTTTTAACGTTATAGATACGAAAACAAATGTACTACACAGTTACAAGAACAATAATCATATCATATAAAGATTTTTGTGTCCTTACGGAAAAGAAAGTTTAAATTTGTTGGAATTATATACATATATTAATCTCTCCGTTTCGTTATAAAACTGACAAAATTTAATCGACGTTCAACTACTGTTAATTTTGTTAATCAATTTTTTCCTTTTTTCTTACACTTATAAGTACTTAGAAACAGTGCCGGTTTTAGCAACATTGGCGCCCTGAGCAAGATTATCGTGGCGCCCATTCAAATTCAAGGGCTCGAAATTCTTGCAAAAGAATAAAAGACAGGGTAATAATATCGAACGACGAACCCTATTTTGTTTTTATATTTAGGGAATCTCTCTCACTCTCAAACTAGGTGAAACTAGAGATCCTCAAGTACTTGAGGATCTCTAGGTGAAACCAGGCAGCGGCGCCCCTACAGATTTGGCGCCCTGGGCGACCGCCCAACCGCGCCCCGCCCTAGGGCCGGTACTGCTTAGAAACATGCTTTTAATTCGATCTCCATGGAATCGGTTAGCGTACAGGTTCTTAAACCGGAACTACGTGAGTTCTAAATGGTTCTAAACAATATTAGCCAAAAAGTTAACTAAAAAATTCACATTGAGTTACCTAGTTGAGTTGCTAATTTTGCACTGGAACATTGAAAGGAGCAACGAATATTTTTTAAAGCCCGTTTTATACCTATTCTATCGATACAGATAAATTTTAATCCTTTCATGACCACCGAGACATATAAATTCCACTTATATAATTGCTTTAAGAATATATCCTTCAATATAATATCAAATTTAACACGACACTTATATTTTACATTGTCGGTAAGTACGTATCCCAAAAATGTTTGAAATATTAATGAGTAGAAAATAGGTAATAATGAAATTACATTTAAGGCCGGAATGTGTGAATATAAAGGTGTGTCATAGTTACTTCAAATTTAATCACCCGAAAAAATGTAAGGTATAAGATGAATAGAAAAGAACATCGAGCATACATGACAAGTTCGATGAAACGAGCAACAAAATGAGAAAAAAAAGTAAAGCGTGTGAAAAAAATAGTAATACTATACCCAGATAACAATTCTTGCGCGCAAATTTTGCTTGCTTGTGCATGCAAATTTGTATGAGATTTGCCTGAGTTTTGTCCGCAAGATATGTTTAGTCTGTGCTTTTGCACGCAAGTGGCTAGTTCATGTATTAACGTATAATTTTGCGCGCAAATATCTATCAACTCACGTACAAAACTAGCTCAACAACACAAGCACAATTCTATCCAAGTGCGTCGTCATAATGCCAGATGTTTGCGCGCAAAATGTTTTCTGGGCAATTCGTTCTGTACCAGAACGAACTGGTACTTTGAGCATTTACTTCATCTTCGGTAGGCTGCTAATCTTGCCGAAGGAAACCTCCAATCTGGAGGGCTGTACCCCTGAAAGGATATGTGTGGCAGGATTCTCTCGGTGGTTACCACTTCCCTTCGGAAAATTCCGAAAAGACCAGTGGTGTTCGTGGATTTGAACTCGAAAGCTTGGATGCTGTATGGGTAGCTGCGTTCGACATTGCAAATCCGAGGGGTCGGAGCAGGTCGGAGTTGCCCTTCCTCCCTCTCTATCTCATTCACCTCTCTCGCTCACTCGAATGCAAAAGAGCACTTCGACGTCTCGAATTTGCAATGCCGAACGCAGCTATTGCATATCGCCTAGTAACGGCACCGACGGTGACACATGCTTGGGTTGGGCTTCACCAAAAGTCTTTCAACTTTAATTTGCTAGTTTAATTCATGCTTGTCTCTTTCTAAAGTAACAATAAAAAAAAACAAAGAACGAATTAAGCTAAGGTTAAAATTAAACAACGTCCTTAGGCGCCCCTCCAAATTTTGTGCCTTACTCCGGAGACATCAAGAATAGAGATCTTCATGCATGATATCTAGTTGCCATGTTGATGGCCGAAAAATGCAAAAAGTTTTCTTGTATAATGCTATAGCGAGGCTGCGTTCTGTCCTTGTTGCTTGCAAAAGTTGAACAAGGACAGAGCACGCTCGTAGCGCTAACAATAAATAGCATTTCTCCCCGAACGCAGCCTCACAGTCTGTTGAGCCATTTTCTTTTATGTTTAATACAATTTTTATAAACAATTAAGGAATCAATTTTAATTTTTTTTCATTAATTAAAAATCGGCAAACTAACAGATACACCCCCTACAAAAATTCCCCCGAAAAACATTCGTTCTCGCCGCTACTGGAGGTATGCAACCTCTTAAACTTTCATTGTTAAAGTGACCCCACGAAGGGTTAACACAAAACAATGAGCATTAATTTAGCCCATGCAGCACCAAAGCTTTCAGAAACATTTCCGAAACATTGCAACATTGCAACAATATGTTTTCTGAGGCTGTGTGAAGTTGGCCCCTGCACTACTGAAAATGCAATAATAACCATTGTCATTCGTTTGGTGGTCGAAATCTTCCATCGCGGAAATATGCGCGCGATATACAGGGTGAGGGAAAAGTACCGGACCGGTAAAATATCTCGAAAAATATGGCAGATACGGAAAAATGTTTCAGACGAAAGTTGTACGGTTTTAAAAGGGCTATACAGGGTGTCAGATTCGATTTGGACGACTCCAAAGATTATAGTAGATTGGGTAAAGCTGAGAAGAAAAGTTATATACCATTTTACAAAATTCGTAATTATTATCGCGTAATTAAGAAAAACG